ATCCTGGTACTTTTATTGGTATAAAAATCATAAATGAGTTTATTTTATAGATATTTCAGCACAATTTTCGATACTGCTTGAGTAAAGTGTTTCTGTTAGAAGCAAAAAGAATGCCCCGAATTGTGTTCGTTTCTGATGCTGTCATACCCAAAAAAGTACCAAAATGTGTGGCCGTTAGAGGTCATGATAGTGACCTATTGTCATCATTTGCTCCACATTGTTTTTCCTGCAAGTAACAAGGTTGATTACTTCCGTAGCTTCTAGCAGAACATCTATGTTTTTTTTTTTAATTTCCGGAATTCTCCTGCTGACTGGTGGTTAAATGATATGAACATGATACAAAGTTTATCTCCAACCCAGCATGATACCCTCTATATTGTTGTATATAATACCTTCACACCCTTTTTTTCATCTACTATTTTCTAGAATGACTTCTCAAAAATTGATGCAGTGTGTCTTGAAATTGTTTTAAGAATGTTCTTCAATGGATGTTGAAAACTAGAATTTTTAATACAGGATGTAATTAGTTATTTTTTAATTTGATATGTGGTGTTTAATCTTTCATGGTAGTTTTATTTTTATTTATATTGTATTTTTGCAGTTTGTAGTCATTAGGAGTTTTCAGTCCTGTCTGAATAAATAAAGATATGATTGCATGCTGTTGAACAAAGCCTGGCTGTGTTAGCTGAAGGACATATAGAACACCTATGATGGATAGAAGAGACAATATACAAGCTCAAATGAAGCCGATGATCGAACAACTACTGTTCATCATGGAATGTTAGATAATTTATTCGCAGTCATGCACACACAAACAGCCAATTAGTAACCATGCCCTGGGCCAGTGTAGAATTCTATTGTAAGTGTTCTGTAGTTGCTTTAACTTTATGAGAGAGAAGTTTAACTTTCAAAACAAAATTAAGAAATGTTCTAACAGTTAACATTTGGTGATATTCAGACTGTAAATTTTATGAACAACACGATTTGAATTTATCATGGGTTAAGGCAGTTGGAAAAATGAAAGGAGAAAATGATATATATTTTTCAATTGATTCTTTAGATACAGAATTAAAATATTAAAAAGAAAAACATTGAATTCTGGAGATTAAACATCAAAAATGAAAATAGCAAACTTAGGACATTTGCTAAATTTAAGAACTTGTACACTTTTTAGCGTTATTTATTCATACTCAATTTAAAAGAAAGAAACACAATGACATGTTTTAGAATGAGTAACCATACATTAGAAATGAAAACATGTAAATATTGTACACAAGGAAAGATTGAAAACAACATTTCCACAATATACAAAATAGAGAAAACACAGACAAGAATTTCCTTCATGTGTTGAATTTCCAAAGAATAAAAAAAACAAAAAAACAGAATTTATTCATCTAATGTGTATGACTGAAGACAACAAATAAAAGATCCTGAAAAGCATTTTTATAATAATTCATTTATGCTTGTTCAGTGTTCCTGATTGTGTGTAAATAATTGTAAGAATTATTGACATGTCAATAATTGATCAGCTCTCTTGATCGATCAATACTAAAACTTAGTTACCTTGGTTACCCAGGCATGGGTCCTTCAAAAGATGTGACAAATACTGCATGATTACATCAATGAATGTCAGCAGCAAGCATATAGTTTGACAGGTTTACTTCACCTCTGGTTTTGTTTGTTAGTGAAGCCTCAGACTTGCTTACAAATCTTGTTTTGTTTTTTTCAAAATTTTAGATAAAAATTGTGTGGAATGATCTTTTTCTTCACATTCACATTTTCTTGGAATTTTTCGGAAAAAATAACTACTGTAAAACCTGTATTAGAAGCTGTGGCTTCTATTAAAATGGTACAAAGCAACAGAGGGGATGCGGGTTCAATTAGAGCATCTAGACATATGAGAAATGATGAATTTTTGATTCTCAATAATTCAAAATTAATGGGTGCGACTTCTATTAGGGATCTGGCTTCTAATACAGATTTTACGGTACTACTAAAAAACGTGAATTTAATAATTTGGTTATATTTGTTTTGATTTGTTAACATCGATTAAAAAGTCCCAAAAACCATGACAATATAGCAATTTGTTTCTCTCACTGAAGCACTTTTACAGATCATAGTTACAGATGAAGACTAGAAAACTACTACAGTTTAACTAACAGCTTCATCTTCATTCACAATTTGACCTGGTTATTTTATCACAACATGCAGCTGACATATGTAACCAGACTTGACCACCCATCCTATTTAGAGATTAATAGAAAAACCCACATCTGACAATGATTATAGCAGTGTTTGTATATCATCAAGGTACTACTGTCTGTTAGAGCTATTTTACTTGGACAATGATGTATTTGTCATACCATTCTAATACATTGCCTGAATTCAATAGGCTTTTGTTGAATAATTTTTCATCTGAATATTTTTTGTATTGTTTGCGAGAATTTAAGATATTCTTGGTATCTTGTGTACAGCGTGTTAGATTCAGCAGTAAACATTCTGAGTGTTGAATTTCTGGGTGGGGTGGGTGGATGATATATTATACTAAATGAAATGTATTTTTTTTAGAACGTTAATTAACTCAAACTAAAATACAACTGGCTGGGTTAAACCTTAATTTCATTTTTGGATTACATATTAGAAATTAGAAATTGATATTATACCAATCCATTGTCATGCAAGCTGCATTGACAATACACTGTATTGTTTTAAAGTAAATGCAATGAATTAAGGTGTGTGAGTGCAGTTTTGTTTTTGTTCTATTGAGAAATCATACAACTGGGTTTTTTTTTATATAATTTTTTTTTTAAATATTACTCTAATGTTTGAAGTACTCTTCATTGTTTTATTTTACCGAAATGCAAAGAATGAAACTTACAGCTTTAAAACTTAAAATATGACAATTTTACAAAATGTTAAGACTATTTTGCACTTTATCAATATAGATCAGTTTAAACTGTGTACACATCACAGACAGGACAAAATGTAAACAATCCCTGATTAAATATTGAAAACCGACATGTTGAAATTTCAATAATTCATTTACGAATTTGATATTCAATAATATGTAGAAAAGATAAATTAATTTTAATAATTGTTTTAATAAAGAAAAAAAAGTCTACTCGCTCTTGTCATATTGTACAGATATTATTCTGTTGAAATGATACTCTAAGGTTACTTGGCACCCAACTCATCAATCATGAAATTATTATCTTGTTTGTTTGAAGAATTGTTCATTGGAGCTCAGAATTTGTATATTTGTACAGATTTCTAAACAATTTCTAATTTTATGGGAAAAATTGCTCCTTTAACTTATAATTGTGCTTTAAGTTTTTATAATTTGGAAATAAATACTTTATCACATGTATCATATGTGTGAAAATTTCATGTTATATTTTAAATATCACACCCCAAGATAACACAATTTATTTTAGACTGTGATGTCATTGACTGACCATTGCAAAACAAGGCTTATTTACCAACTAGACAATATATTTTGGTAACTTATTATATAATGGGTCAGTCATTAGATATCTTCTATATATTAATAGAAATGTATCATCCCATGATGCTTTGCAGGAAGGGTAATCAGAATATATCATCCCATGATGCTTTGCAAGAAGGGGAATCAGAATATATCATCCCATGAAGCTTTGCAGGAAGGGGAATCAGAATATATCATCCCATGATGCTTTGCAGGAAGGGGAATCAGAATATATCATTCAATGACGCTTTGCAAAAAGTGGAATCAGAATATATCATCCCATGGTGCTTTGCAGGAAGGAAAATCAGAATATATTATCCCATGATGCTTTGCAGGAAGGGGAGTCAGAATATATCTTCCCATGATGCATTGGAGAAATGGGAATCAGAATATATCATCCCATGATGCTTTGCAGGAAGGGGAATCAGAAAATACCATCCCATGATGCTTTGCCGGATGGTTGTACACACTAGGCTAGCAAGGTACAGTCAGTGGGGCTAACCTTAACAAAATAATTCATTTGCACAGCTGAACTCTGAGCTGAGTTTTTTGCTTTTAAATATTCACAACAAACACAGTCCCACTCCAGCCTATTAAACTGAGTGGTAAGCCCACACACCTGTTACCCTGCTGTCACTGGGTGTTTGTATTGAAATACAGGTATGCATCTCTGAGTGATATGTTTTCACAGCGTTAGTTCAGCCTAAAATCTGACCTTCACGTTTTGATACATTGATCATTCATTCATTCATTCAAAATTACTGAAGTAATAGCGTCAATGCAGCATTGCATTATGGGATACATGCATGAGTAATGACAGTTTTAGGGGGGTGTCTACTCTAAAACTGTGCCACTGATCACTGAGTTTCAATTTAGTGAATTGAAAATAATATGCAGCTGATAATGTTTCATATAAGAACATATGCATGGAACTGATCATGAAAGACAGGGTTTCCCATTATGAATGTGTAAGCATGCAAATGGCTGTGCTATTATTACTATAGAGTGGCAGACTTATGTCACCATATTAAATTTAAATAATTTTATCTTCAGATAATCATAATTCTACCGTGTTGTGGATGATATACAGTTATTATGTGGCCTAGTTTTATGTAATTAAAATAATATTTTGTTTAAATCCATAATTTATACATTATGTAATAAATTTTCTATAATTTAATATGATCATAAAAATAACCTGACACATTAGGTGTTGAAAGGCTACTGTAACTCCATAAATTATAGAGGAATTATAGGAGACCATTAATATGGTCAATTTTATAACAAAAAAAACACAAGAAGATGCATTTGATAGAGGAAGCAGCACCATCTTCCAGGAAAAAATAATTATCCATAACGAAGTGAAAAAAAAAAAAACGTTATAATTTGAACTGTGGTAAACCCATCACCAAACTTCCAGTTTATAATTTCGCCTTTTCATAAGCGCATTTGACGTCGCATAGAGCAAAAGTAGGACTCTTCTTTTCAAGTGAGTTGTATTTAATAAATCACCTACCTGGTACAGGGAGCCAGTCGCTGCTCCAGTTCCAATATTTTGCACTGTTGAGTTTCGGCGTTTTGGCGGGCACGTCCTTCTAAACATCGCACTTTTGATAAACTTTCGCTCACTGTCTTTCTCGTCTTCTCCAATTCCTGGTACATAGCTCTTTGATTTGTTGTTAGCACGTTATTATTGTACTCCAGTTCTAAAAGTTCTCTCCTCGATCGCAATAAATCCGCCTCTAGTTGTTGCGTGAACCGCATCGCCTCTTCCAACTGGTTGTCACGTGACTCCCGTAGGTGATTCAACTCCTGGACCAGCGCTTCGATGCTTTTGGACTGTGTAAGGGGGGACCGTGTTCGGTACTTTGTTTTTTTGACTTCGCATTTCTCGTGTAGTAGGTGGGTTTTTCTGAATGCCACCTGCAAAGCTAGTGACCTTGCGTCGTTGCTCTGCAGCGCCAGTCGCATGTCCTCGACAACCTCTCGCAGACTTTCGTTCTCTTCGTGTGATTTCACGAGTTCCCGTTTCAGTTCTCTCACCTGGTCGCCCAGGGTCCGTTCATTTGATCCCTGTGCCGGTTCCTTCACGCCACTCTCCTTCGAATTAGCCTCGCTGTTTTCGGTATTATCTTCTCTCCCTTGGACGTGCAGAAGCGATTTATATATGTCTGTTATTGGTTTGCTGCTGAAACATTCGACGCACATTGTATGTAGAGTCAGTCCCGTTCTCGGGTGTCTCAATCGAAGTTCTGTATCGATGTGCTCTGTATCATGGGTGCACTCAGGCACGGCCTTGTAAGCTTTATCGCCCCGAGAAGCAAAATATTCGCCTAATCGCATGTGGAATTCCTTGAAATCCAACTCCTCTGGCAAGTTTTTGAACAAAATTACACTATTCCCTATATCGTTTTCGCCGTCACCCAGTAGTCCCAAAATTTCGCACAAAACTTTGAAATCCTGACAGGGAAGTTTCTGGTCCCCATTGGAATCCAAGTGATGGTATATTTCCTGAAGATACTGATCGAGTCCTGCGGCCAGTACGACGATTTCGTTTTCCACTCCCCTGTCCAGTCCATAGTTATAAGCCAAAGCACTCACAATCCACTGTGCGCGACGGGCCGGGAAAATATAAGACTCCGACCTCTCCATTATTCGTGAGTCACACGTAATAGCAGTCCCTCTCTCAGAACGCCGATGCCAATAATGAACACAGTACGTCTTCACTGTGGGCTACAATTACCACACACGTGTGTCTATACACTAACAATACTCATACTATATCGTTCTTTCAGGCGTACTAGTATACGATCAACGTACAGTAAATTCAACTCCGTACACTCCCTTGATCGACACACGCACCACTGTCAATCCTGTTCAACGCTCGCCAATCTTAGCTGAAGTAGAAACGTAAGACCGTTTGAGTGCGCTTTTAACAAGTCACCCAAGTCAGATGGAATGTTTTGTGCCAAACCTGCAAGAGACAGAACAGAGCTGTTAGGTATAGCTGATAGCGGGTCTGATGGGAGCGTGTCTGGCAAGTACCCTAGCATTGAATGAGAAGTGGGTGGAGCCAAGGTTTAAATCCACGTTATTTATCGCCTGATACAAAGCTAATATAAACAAATATATGGGCGTGATTGCCCGTTTATGTGATAAATAATTAAACAGAAACGTAATCGAGTTATTTGTTAATTATTAATGCTGTAATTAGTTAGGTACATGCGAACGCTTCCACACAGTTCCGGTGGAGCGACACATACGCGTAAACCAAAATAATATTAAATTGCAGTGGCATGTGGTTTTGATAATCCAGAAATGTGTTGCAAAGTATGGGTAATGACTGATGAAGATGAATTCGCCGGTTATTCTATAGTGCTAAGGTAATCACCCGGGTGACTTTCTATCGAAAGGGCGCCCTCTGATGCTCAACAAATCCTTTGTTACCAACCGTAATATCGATCTTAGAGGTCGTTTAAAGTATTCAAATATATAGTTATATTTAAAAAAAAGTGTGAACTGTTGAAAATAAACACGAGGATTTTGTTTAGCTCTGCCCACTCAACACAAACAAAAGGAAGTACGGCGGATTCCAAACGCGATTAAATTTCCACCAGAAACATTCTTTTCACGAAAACCGAAACGGCGTGTCGAATGCTGGAACAATCAGCTAATTGGGTAAAGGTCCACTCCCGAAATAATAAAGCGTGTACTTCATGCAACGAACTATATGTACATTACCGCCTTGTCAAAATTTATTTTGTAGGTACCCCGATATCCACATAATACCCTTATAACGGTTCGTCCTGTACCCAAAATACGTCTTTTGTGGTCGCATAGAATGTGTACCCCTTTATTTGTCTAAATGCAGTAGTTGTGCTAAAATTAAGATCCGTACGCGCTTTCCATTAGTATCAATAGTGCTTTGTTATCGCCTACAAATATTAACGTGCTTTTGGATTCAATTGACAATTTATTTAGCTCTTGACTCACTGTTTTAGTTGTGTTTTTTTAGAATATAGGTGAAAAATCGAAAATATGGATTTTTCATCCTGAAAATGAGTCACGATCCTTTTGTGCTGGCTTCTTTTGTTGAATTCTGTCAACCTATTTTCAACCTTTCTCAGTCGGGTGCGCGTAAAATTGCAATTTCGTTGAAAATGAAGTAAAATCAACAGAAAATAACATAATTATTTCGCCAATTAGTTATATTAGCGACAAACTGTTGCGAAACACGACGAGTCAGTAAATTATAAAGTGCACGGTTCCCGGTGGATTGTTTCATAATTCAATAATCCGTTGTCCATATTACGATTCACACCTGGGAATTCTGGGTAGTAGTTCTACTCAATCAATATCACGGAAATGAAAAACAATGCCCTTCATCTGTTGGTTGGTTCCTACGCCGGGTTATTGATTGATAGAACAGTCAATACATTGGGGGGGGGGGGTATTGTAAAGATGTTTTAATAAGAAATGCATTAGCTTATTATTTTTGTGTAAATTTCATCTAAAATTGAAAAGACGTGGGAAAAATATGTGGTTATGAAAAAGTGAATTGCCGTCATTGACTTTCTATGTTCGTGTGCAGGAACCTGGAGATTCCAGTAATATTAAATCATGTAATCAGTTTCATACGTAGTCCGAACACTAAAAGGGTTTCGTGCCGAGCTGCGCTGTCGGGAGGTTCGCGGTCAGATGAGTGCTGCGAGCCCGTAAAGACCAGTTGTAAAAATGCACGAGTTAATTTGATAAGTGCTTTTAACACCATTAAGTAATATACTTTCACCATATTTATAAGTGTGGAAAAAAAACTCAAAAGAAGCGATGAAACGTTAAATTTGTAATTCCGATGTGAATAATCACACTGGGGGGCTTAAACTCAGCCCAATATATTGATGGGAGAACCTTAGGGAAATGTTAATACTGTTTCGTGGGGTGTGTAAACGTCACGGTGCATGTGATAGAACCAGATACCCACCCACTAACTAATACATGATGACCTGTCCCTTAATTTAACGCCGGAAGATTATTGTGTTCTTTGTCTGTATACCTGTTTCAGTTATTTAATAACTATCGTATTTCTGGCGTTTTTGACGAGAAAACCAAGTACAGTAAACACATTAATTATTCACTTTTTTTTGAGTAAAAATCGCTAAATTACAACCACGTGAACATGTAGAATAACAATGAACTAATGTTTTCCCTGCCGAGTTCGTGAACGCAGTGAAATTGCTCAAAAACGTTAAAATAGTGAAATTAAATGCCAGTGAAAATAAAACGGTTTTACATAGTGATAATTCCACTGAAAGACGCAGTTTTATCAGGATGTCGGAGCTATGGTAACGCTACGCTATACACGCGCTTACTGATAACAAAGAAAACGATATAAAAATCATAACACACACAATCAAAACATGTAGCGGTTGTTCTACGATGTGAGGAGTGCATATCCGCCTGGCATGCATCAAATCAGTTTCCACCATTGCCCCAAACGTGTTTTGTATATTTTTTACAACTATTTATTATGATGCGCGTCGCCGTTATAAAGCAACGACAGCGTGCAGATGACGCCCCTTTGCATGTAGTTACGGTAATTGATATCTGACTCAATGAACGCGGCACATGTCATGAGTAGATCGCCTGCCCATACATAAAACATGCATTATATACGCCGCGCGAATGTTAAATATCGCAGTGACTTCAAGTACCGAACTGGAAATATTGACAACGTGGCAATCACTTAACGCACGCGTTTGTGAACTCCGGTGAATGCGATGTTTAACATTTTCAGTTTACAACTGCCGTACTAGCACGCACACACGATTATCTAAAACATGCACGTGTATACAGAAATGATGATGCGAAAACTAAAGTACACCTATACAATAAATTACAAATATCTTGGCGCCCGAAAGTGTTCCTGCTGCTCGACAAATATTCACATGAAATACTAGTGTTATGGTAAGCAACGCCAAAGTCGACAACACTTACCTGCATGCGACGACAATGTAGTAGACAGCGAAAACAGACACGTGAGTGACGTAATAGTGCGTGTTTCCTATCTTATGTGTCGTGGATTGCAGCTCGTTATACATATATAACTCGTAAATTTGAGGGGAAATTGTCTGGTCATCTAGTGAACTTATGGAATATACACTGTCGTGTGCGCGTCACGTGAGCAGAAGACTGGCTTGGTTATTAGGCACTACCCCCACATGCATGAACGAACGAAAAAATGAATGAACGAATGAACGAGGCAACCCTTAAAATGATCAAATTACTAAAAGTGCTCACTGATCGGTGATTGGTTGCTTTTATGATGGTATAATGGGTATACGAGTAAGTAAGCGCGTTGTGTGAAACAGCGCGAAAAATGCAATTATGACAGAGTTGAAATAAACTAGCTATTAAACGGTCGCCATAGTAACAACCAATTTGCCAAATATTCGATTCCCGTCGGAGATAGATTAAACTGGTTTGAATGCAATTGTGTCGACGTTCTATTGTCACAACTTTCTATCGAGCTTCGTAACAATGCTTGAAAAATTAATGAGATGACGCCACCCCCCAAAAAACAATAGATCAATTTGTTTCTCGATATGCATTATCGTTATAACGCATTGGCTTTTCACCTTTATAAAATATTAAAAACACGTTGGTTGAAAAATTAACGTACTGTGAACAATAACCAATCTGCCCGAAAAAAAGATAAAATTGAGCGTATGAACGAAAAATTTTATTGAAATATCAAATATACAAAGGAAGTTGAATATCCTGTTCATTTGATCGATTTTAGTTTTTTTTTGGCATGCCATCAGAGTCTACAGAATTCTTTCTTTTTAAACTAACGTTTCAGACCAGCGTTCTAACAATACACAGAACCCCTCAGGGAAACTCAACAATGAGAACAGCGAGCCTCAACACATAAGTCATAAACCTCCCAGCAATGACACTGTGTGTTATTAATGTGTTTTGAAAATAACAAACAAAGCCTGAAAAACTGAGTTATAGTCGTAGTCATGCAGAGAAAACCCATCATCGGATTTGGTAATATAGATGATATATGTGTCATGGATGATCACAGTTATATTGGTTTAGGGCAGTTTTGTTCACGTGTGGTTTGTATCATAAACTCATTTGCTTGTTGTTAGAGCGTCTTGACTGTTGGTGATGGCTTTCTCTGCCGCTGATACTTCTTCGTCAAGTTTGAACGATATTTTGCCCCTCATCAAATCATTGAAGACGACTGAGGGCGTGATTTCGGCTCCGATAGTTGGGCCCCGATGCGTTTACACGATCGGAGCCATGGCGGGACTCAATCCTATCGGAGTTCAACCCCGAGGGTATAGTTGAGCCGAACTTGGCTCGAGCCGACTCGAGCCGAACGCGTTTACACGGCCATTTTTGCTGGCTCGAGCCGTTGGGCTCCGATAAAATGCTGTCGTGTGAACGTAGCAATTGTGATAGACCGACGTTGTATATGAACCAAAACACCGTGGATAATAAAATCAAACAAATGCAAGGGTACACAAAACAATGCGGGTATATTGCTCATGTGGTATTCTTTTTGATTACTTGTCGGGGGAAATTAGACTCTTCCGAAATTGTTTCACGTTATCGTGCATGGTGCGCTGCCACCAATACACACATACACTTGCACCAAACGACGGAAATTTTGGTGGATTTCACGATAGATGTAGATATGCTAAGCCTTTGTGTGATACGTTTCGAGGTCAATTAGTGAGTATAACACAGCGTGCTACGAACGAGGGTGAATGGCGTACTCTGACAGCAATTGTCACGTGACACTATAACCCGCAAACAGTCTATTGTTGAGTCTATGACTACTTCAGCCACGTCAAGCCCGGTGATTAATTTAACGGGAAGGTGTACCGTTCAATAATATATTGTTGTACAGCTATGTGTTAACAGTCAACTATAGATTTCATAGTTATGAGTTTTAGGGGATATTACATTACATTCAGTTGTATTTTATATTTTCGTTTTGGATCGATCGCATATGAGATACAGTGTGTATAAGATAATTTGACACGTGGCTTCCCATACGTAGCTAAAATTTCATCTATATCACAAAGAGGGCAATTACATTCGTCTCTCACAAAGATAAAATTGAAAATGAGTTTCACTTTCTCCGTGTTTGCCCATATTACCATGAATTGCGAACCTCATACTTACCCAATACATTTTATAATACCCAGTCTTTTGATAAATTTATAGAACTTGTTACTTCTTAAAATTCTGATATTTTACAACCACTGGCTGCACATCTTTCATGCATTGAAATTTAGGAACGAGATATGTGATTTTATTTAAACTTTTTTCTTGTACATGTAAAATATTTTTTATTTTTCGAATATTCTTCTTGTACATGTAAATACTTTTATGGGCCGATGGCCTTGAATTTGTGAATAAAGACCATATAAAGTAATTAAAAAAAATACGTAGCTAAAATTTTCACAGATCACGGAAAATATGGCATCTCTTTGGACAAGCAACCGGTCCGATCATTGGATCATCTCCCGCCCGGCTCTCCGATTGCTGCCAGCAAATTTGAGCTGTGATCTAATAGTTTAGTTTAATTGCGCACAATTCTACCGAACCAGACACCAATCTGCATGAAACAATATCCACCCACCGCAGTTATGTTTTTTTAAAGTACGTGTTACAATGTACTCAGACATCACGCCACGTGGGTACTAAACATGCATACACTATCTTCTATCCAATATCCTGGTCTGTTATTTGCATTTCTCAAATTTGATATAATTATAACTCCTTGCACTCCAAGTTATTCTATTATAATATTTACTGTACACATTTAGTAATAGAGGCAAAGTGCCTCTGATCTTCAAGTCGATTTGAAAGACGTTTTTTTTTTCTCTCTCGATATTCCATGTCGATATTGTAACTACTAGTATTATTCCTTGTTCAGTTGCATTATATTTTTTCCCATTCTTATATGTCCCAATACCCCGATACAATACAAAAGACACAACTATTAATTGATCATTTGATCGCTTAATTTGTATTTTCTACAACATACTAACTTGTCAGCCACCCTAAAATAAATTCGATTTATTTAATTAATCAAATTATTGTATGTGACTTTTAAAGTTTATACGGAGTTCAACTGGCAGAAAAGCTTAAATTCAAATTTGTAGCTTTAATGAACACGTCAAAATTAATCGTTTTCATAAACTGAGCTGATTTTTAACCTACTTGAAGACGATGTCTGAACACATGGATAGTATCCCGGGTGTCGTATGTCCGAGTCTTGAACCTTTTCTCGGACATGCATCGATCGATTAGTTTTGGGTCCTATCAAATATGGCCGACTGACGTAAAAATGCACAATGCTTCGACGTGTCACCAAGGACGGCTCAATGCAGGGCCGTTCCTGGTTTCTTTTTATCGTGATCCAATCTAATATAGCTGACTATCGGCATTTTTTTTACCATATCCATGTATGGTTTTCTCATACCGTGACGCAATGCCCAATTGCGTTTTTTTTATTTATTTGTTGCTACCCTTTTAAATCAGGGGCTCACTAATAAGTAATTAGGAGCTGCAATAAAATTATTGGAAAATGCAAATACTATATAAATGAAAAAGGAAACAGATAATTTAAAAAAAAAAAAAACTTTTAAACTTTAAGTGAAAGTACGTTTAAAGTCTGCACATATTATGGCCGACTGGCAGCCATTGTTACTTAAAATTCGTTAAATGCTTTCAGCCACAGTCCACGTACCTCATGATGAGATATGTAATTTTTCCGAGTTTTAATCCCAAATGATTCGTTTTTATTTCATATATCTAAAGTTACATTTATTTTCAATTAATGACTTCTATCAACTTGTACACATACTATCCTGGTATTTTTTTTACATAGCTTTATAAACGGAAGTCAGGCAAGGCGTATACGTTATAAAACACTTAACATTGTATGAGCGCGTATACCTATGTAGGCTGTTCTAACTTCTAATCTATGCTTGAACACTTCATAGAATGGGGAGAGGTGCCTTCCAGCCAATGAATTCAGTCGTATCGTTTGTATATAAATGAGACTGGTTACAAATGAAAACAGCTATATAGGGCTAAAAAGCGTGCTTATAGGGTATAAACATGCCTTACTCGACGTCGGTGTATCAGTGACTTTATTATATATTATATTTCAAAGACACTAAATACCAGATGCTGACTATGTTAATTAATTAATGTCTTATTTCCACACACTAAACTTGGAGAATAAATGCGTCTTTTCGACATTCGCTTCACCACACAAAATAAGCGAGGCAGCAACTCGAATTTGGCCTGAGTTAATGTAAAATAACAGCAGGGCGCTCAATCAATTAACGCGCAACTTTCATAATCATGCTCTTTGTCACAATTAGCATTAGCGCCCATGAATGATAATTTGTATCTCAATTGACTCTGTCTTCACTTTTACGCTTTGGTGATTATCTCATTAAAACACGTCAAAGAACTGAATTCTCGTGAGACCAGGTGTTATCAAAATTCGTTTTTTTATCATGTAGCCAAGTGATGCGTCCAGTCAATTAATTGTCATTATATAGAATCGAGAGCCGCATCAAGGACAATTAACGCCGACTACCGCCTCGCAATAGATGGTTAATCGTATCTTTCTCGACGTTGATATATGTAAGTATAAACCACAATTCTCAAATTTTCAAATATGGACATATTATTATATTTAAAAAAAAAAGACTAATAAAGATAGCTATTTATTTTATTATACCTATTATACCATATTTTTAAAACCGTATTTTTTTAAAATTTAATTATCCAAAAAGATGGAAAGTTGTTTGATTTCAAAAATTAGTTCTTTGGGCCGTACGACGTTCTTTGGTTGCCATTACAACTACAGAGTCTTGATGAGCCATTGATTCCTAGACACGTAGCGCTTAAACCACCACAATGCGCGCATTCCATTTTTCAAATACAAAACAGAAACTGGTGTGACAGACGTCTCACCATTAGAACAACGAAATTAGACAATTCCTGGAGCAATTTTCATACATTAACTAATTGTGAATGTAATAGAAATAGAAACAACTGCTCTTTCATAGCTCACATGGGTATTCTCCGTATTTACTTGATTGATGCAAAGTGTCTACTTTCGTGGCATTGTGTTTGCTTTCCGTGCAAGGCGAGGTTGTACAAGCCTCCAGGGACGGATATTCCGTTATATTTTGTGATACAAGTAATATTGCCAACAGCTTTATTATTTCCCCCGTGAAGTAATGTAATAAAGTTGAATTACACGAACAATACAGCACTAATGAATCTCAGACGAAGAGCTTCTTTAGCACGGTCAGTCCCAATAAGCCTTTGTTAACATATATTTAAATTATCTTTGTTGCTTGTAATATCAAACTACATGTATTACGACCGTGACTTGCTAGTGTCATCATACCTTTAGCGCCGATTTAATACCCGCTTTAGTCGCCGCATAGACCGTCTAAGGTCTGCGGTTGTCGTGTGCTTTTTAGGGAGGGGGCTTCTCTTATCTCAGTTAAACATTAGCATTTCACCGAGATAAGAGAAGTACCCTCTCAACTAGACATAATGAATGCATTGCACACACCCTAGAGAATAGTAAGATGTTATTTTCCATGATGGTTAACCATATGTGAACATGGCCACCTGTTCTAGTTACTAATGTAACATCCACACGTGTGGGTGTCAAGTTATAAACGTCTCAATATACTAGTATACTCCCTTACAATTTACGTGTAATAAATAAAATTTAAAATATTGCCTTTATACGAGTATCATCAAATACTTTTAACCCATGTAATCTCACCATTAACATAAACTTTAAATTCGTTAAATTGATAATCGTAAAAAACAAAACAAAAAAGTTGCATTGTGGCTCTTGCCGCAGCATTTTTAAAATTGTTGATGTGTTTACAGTGTGTTTAATAAATAACCAAAGACGACGTTTTACGCATCTTGTATATGATAGTTCCTTAAAAAATGCCAGTGATGTCCCATTTTGTCCAATTTCTGAAATCGATATTGCAATCTATATGTTAGCGCCCTCCGCGTTATTAAATTGGTTATTTTAACCACTAGGTGGCGCTTTGCTAAAGATAAGGCAACTAAAAACAAATATGGCAGCCTCCAGCAAACGCCATGCCGCTACTTCACAGAGTGGGAATTACGCTGACGCCGATGCTGGATCAGTACCTTTTGGGGAGGGAGACTTTATATTGAAAAACGACAGTGATAAGTCAACCGACTCTTTCACAAACCGGAATATTAACGTGGATGTTCAAGTTGACAAGTCAAACTACGGAAAATTGCTCGGACATCTCGGTAGCAACCACTACCGATGTCTTGGCATGGCTGCCTACTCTAGGAATAGTAAGTTCTCGCATCTCATCAGGGGTGACCCATTTGAATACTTGAGTAATCGGTGAGATTGTTGGCGCCTGTCCGTCTGGCTCCGTAGCTCGATAATAAGACCATGGACGTTAGGACCGACAACGCACATATGCGTGAGGTATGAAAATCAAAATAAATCGGTCAGTGCTGTTTATTATTGAAATTGAGAAAAAATAATAATAAAATGTACTGATCGATGTATTGAATTTTCAGCCATAAGTGACTGTGCGACAATGTTACCCCATGAATCTACTACCTAATCTTATTGACTTTTATTGACCTTGAATATGAGATTTGTTGCGAAAAAATTTGGCAGCTGAGAGGGAAAAAAAGATTGCGTGCTAGGTGTTGCAAGGAAAAGTAGATTCCTTACGGGGAAATAAAATAAAATAAATTCTATTCTATTCTATTCTATTCTATTCTATTCTATTCTATTCTATTCTATTCTATTCTATTCTATTCTATTAGCCTGTAAAATGCAACACAAAACCCTTTCTTTCTGTGGTGACACTTGCATTTACTGTAAACACAATAACAAACAAATAAAAATATCTTTTACACAATTTTGCTCAATGTGTGAAATAACAGAATCTGCACACGTAGAGCATTCATAGAACATTATTGAGGTTTTGGTATTTATTAAATGACATATAATCTGAGTTAGTGTGAATTGTGAGGAAATTATCCCTATCACTTATCAGTGCGTCCAAATACTGGCAATTATTCACTCTTCATTAAATTGCTTGTTTGAATCACCTATGCTAATGTACTTTTGAATGGAGTTTTTTTTTTTAAAGTGAATTACAAGTTCCTGTGTGCAAGTTATTCCGTTGTAACTATATGCGGTAACTGATACAAAACTGTTCCATGTATCCGTAAATGTGTTGTGATTGGTCAATATTAATTTATGAATTTTTCATAGAAAAAAAAAAAATTCATGTCTTCATGAAATTCTTTGTATTATATGATTGGTTCTGTTAAACAACATTTGGTAACTATGAATACATTTGTAAACCAGTGAGGTGTTATTAATTGATTATAGTATGGCGATCACTGTAACTCAATCAAATCCAGAATACTAGTATTATTCATGACACCCCGTTCTACACAAACAGGTCTCACTACTGTCACAGTAGAGGCACTGTGCTACTGTTAATAAAAACATTTATTTTCACAGATCCATATGTTAAATTATTACTACAAGCTATGAGTCAAAGTGGATGGTAGGTAATATCTTATAATTATTATACATCAAAAACCGAAAACAATAGAATTTGCTGTTCTGTAAAAAACCATACCACCATTCCTTCCCAAACATATGGAATTTGTTTTGAACATTTTCCCTTATAAAAAAAAAATCAATAAAAACTCATAAAATGTTAACTTAAAGCGAGAGGGTCGTCGTCTGCGCACGCGTGGGAATCAAGTCCCAAGCGATGATAACAATGTATGCTAAGAACGCAAAGGCTCATCGGTAGACGCTTGTTTGTAAACAAAGACACGCTATGACCACCTGACGTATGCGTATGTGACGACTTCCCCGCTTTAAATGGGTTATTGACGTCACAGTGCGTAAGAAGATTTATTATTATCTTTCATCAAATTACTACAAACAGGAAAAAGATGTGTACAATCACTCAAACCGCCTTTGTCCATACTTTGCTGTATTCTTGGGATAAACTAATATTCAGTGCTTATCTTTTATTTCTTTGGCTGTGGGGGTGGAATTATTGTCCTCAGTGAAAAGAGGACACAATGTACAGCATCTTAGATATCACCATGACAATACTTTCCAAGTATAACTTCATCAGGATATTTAACGTTCATGATACTTAACATTTTCCCCACCAGTTTCCTCTTTTCATCACAAATTAACAAAATAGTCCCGTTTATAGTCTGCACTTTACTTCAGAAGATTGAGACAAAAAATGACAATTTGTTTTGAGTAAAAACTGTTAATTAAATTATAAGAAAAAAGCACAGACAAGTTTAGGCAAGAAAGTCTGGTGGTGAAAAGGTTAAAAGGTATTCATAGATATACAGATTTTGAAGAATTTGCTAAAAACGTGCAGACAAAACAGTGTTTAATGTAATTTTCCTATTTTATAGTATAGATTGAAAATAGTGTAAGTAAATCGCTATACAAAATGTACACTATTTGTCTTGTAGACCAAACTTTTCTCTTTTTCAAATGTATTGAAGTACACAGTGACATTTCAGTGTTTTAAAATTCACACATTCTCTGGTCATTTTTAATTTCAGTGAAGCATTTCAAGATCGTCATTTTGCCTGCGAACAGTGCTCGGAAGTTGTCAATGGTGGATTTGATCCATCAACATCTCAAGTAAGTTTAGATATCTCATTGTAATGTCTTCATTCATTTAACCATTCACAATCACAACTTTAGATTCTTGAAAGAGGTGATAAACATGAGTATTTAGTATGTTGTTATATTCTTTCCTTCATGGTGTATCATTCTGGCACAATTCAGTAGTTTGTGGCATTTCCAGTTTATGGTGAGAGAAATCACACCAGCAATTTGCAATCATTCATGTATAATAATCTAAATTCTGTGTTATTTTTCAGATTGTTTTATGTCAGAATAACATAAAAACACAGTCCGCGATGGATCGAGTAATAACTCACGAATTGATCCATGCCTTTGACCATTGTAGAGCTAAAATTAATTGGAACGACATTAGACATCTAGCATGTACAGAGGTAAGACATACATAACGGTATCAATAAATTAAACATACTTGTTCCAGTCATTCTGTATCATTTCCAACGTACTAACCTTAAATGGCAACATCTTTCCTAAGAGCTCAATTGAACTTTGTTTGAATTTAATATTGTTTGTTATTATTCAAATAAACTCTAACATTTGTCACACTGTATTGTGTTCAACAAGTGTCTCCTGTGAAGACATATACAATGACAAAATATTTAGTGATTACTCCATGAATTTTCCAATTCCAGATTAGGGCTGCCAATCTAAGCGGTGATTGTTCATTTGGCATGGAACATTTTGGTAGATTTCATAGGATGCAGTTTGGATTTGTTAAACACCAACAGGTATGCCTCTCCAAATAATTCTTCGATGTATTTACATGTAGAGTGTATAATGCAAAGGCAGCCATATTGTTTACAGATTGTTCATATGTATATATATATATATGCATAACTGTGAAGTTGGTACTAAGACAATGGAAATACAAAACACCAAAAATAAACATTTGAACATGTCCTCTACTGTTTCTCAGATATACCTAAGCCGATTGAAATCAATAATGTCAATACTTTGTATTGAACTCACACACAATGGAATACTGATGTACATCATTTTATTTTGTTTTACTTACTGTTCCAAACCATTTCTGAAATGTTTAATCAATTTCGTTCCAAGGCAAGACATAATGGTTTCATGTGTAACTGTTTTCGTTTTAATGAAATATCTTTTTGTACATGTACTCTCAAACGCGTATATATCTAAATACAATGTTTCTGTTATTTCAATTTTCAGACATGTGTTAAGGACCGAGCGATTCGATCTGTTCTTGCTGTTCGTGACACTTCAGAGAAACTAGTAAAACAAGCAGTAGATGAAGTATTCGACACATGTTTTAATGATCTTGAACCTTTTCACAAAATTCCCCGCAGTAAATCTGATGCAAAGGCTGCCTGGAGGGAACGATATCGTTATGAACTATAAGCAATGGAATGATTATTAAAATATTTTATAAAATTATTAATTGAATTCTTATCTCAGGCAATTTGCAATACTATCATTGTTTTTTGGTTTCAATGTCATACAATGTCTGTCTCTCTATCTCTCTAAGTGTCTGTATGTGTGTGTCAAATCTTTTTCTACCAATATCTCAAGCACCTGAGTGTAACTATCAACTTGATTAGATTTTGGTACAAATCAGATAATGTCAATAAGGTAATTTGCATAATTAGATAGTGGATTTGAATTCACTGGTTTGTGAAGGAAACAATGCCTTCTATTGTTAACTGTGTTTTAACTTAAAACATTCAGCTATTAGCGAAATGAGCGAAAATAAAACCCAGCTAATAATTGAATATCTACAACTTGGTACATACTGTAGTTGAATGTCTACACTATTTAATTATTTAGTAGTATTATTATACACCTTGCTAATTAGGACCCCGGAATTACGTATATATTTATCCTTGACCCCCCACTCTGTCTATTGCGATTATTTGAAGACTATATATTCTTTCTATCATACTAAACTGGTCACCAAATTTAACAAGTGTCTCTGTGTTGATTGTATACAGACCCACCAGTGACTGTTCCCGGCTCCATACGTTTAGACTTGCATCTATCGCAATTACACTGCATTGTGTGACTTACAGTTTTTTACCGAAAGAATCCTTAAATTCTACCTGTATTGATATAAAGAAACAGTATCATACAGTTAAAGGCAGGTGGCCGTCACGCTATCCATGCGCTAGATATGGGACTCGTATAAACAAAGATGGCGACTTTGACTGTTGCGCAAATCAACCAGTACACACTGAGACATTACCAAGCTTTAATTAAATAATTTGTCAGGCGATTGGAAGGTATCAAGGATTCACCCGCGTCAATTAGTGCACGTCGCGCCCAAGTCAATACTAGTACTTGAAATTTCCATTAGAAGAGCGCTTTGAACTGTGGGAATATCAATTTTCATCAACACAAATATCGCACATGCTTGGCGCGACGACCACCGCCCTTTAACCTTTCAAATATTGTAATAGTAAATACGTTGATAACGAACAAACAAACCCGAAGCATAAATGTTGAAGATAAATATAATCTATATAACAGATAATTGAGCAATCGCTAGTGACCTATTTTATTTCACATTTTGTTCATCCGAGTGAATTTTTTTAACTGTCAATATTTGTGATATCGCCAAATGATGACATCACAAAGCTCTTCCATGGTTTTGGCACATAAAGGTAAATATTTACAAATTCACCATAGTGATTCTTATCTACAACCATTCAGCTCAGTCGTGATTTAGGTCAGCCATTGTTAAGTGGCGTTGCTAGGTTACAACCTTAGAAACAGTTTCGCTGCCTTTCATACCCTCCGAACCAGAAATGAATCTTTCAAATATCGATTTTCATAAAATTTTCACAAACGTTGATTTATTCATATCAACTAAGTGATATATTTCTGCACGGTAGCAATTGTCATTAAAAAGTGACATGTAACAAAAATACACAAAAATAGCAATGGACACACCATTAAATAAACACAAAAATAGACCAAAACAAAAATTACGAGATGAACCGATTGATTAAAAAAAGCATCACCTGAACAATGATATCACAAGCAAATGCCGAGGTCAGCCCGAAATTGCCGGAATTAGCAATTATGATTATCAGTGGAGAGACATATTGTATATTTCTTTCCGTTAAAGGGTCCAATATTACAGCATGAGTCTGAAGACTTTTTATTAGGAAGATAGTGGTACATTTTCCCGACAATCCGCCACAGATCCACAGGCAGTCTAGGATGGGCGCATACATTTTGCCGACGTCATTCGAAAGAAAATGTGTTTGTACAGCTATACTCGGTGTTTTTGTCACGATAACTGCCATAGAATATGCTATTTTTACGGAAAGTTTCTCCCTAAAAAGGATCCAGGTCAAACAGATCAGCAGTTTTCTCAACTTAAAGTGAGTATATACTGGCATATTGTTTAGATAACACGACTCTTTTCACGACACAACTCTCCGTAACGGTAATCGGGTTTCGACAAAATATATGTTCCAACGGATACCTACAAAGCACAGAATATTTCAAAAAACTATGGTAATTAATGGCAGTCATTCTTTTCATTCACGTTTCCATAACAACCAAACAGAAACCAGATCGCGTTTTTTTCTGATAACATGTCCTGCTTATTCGTCGTTGGCCACACAGGCAGCCCCCTGGTTTCATACTGTATATTTATAGGTCACCCTACCCCCCATGGTTAGTACACGAAAGCACGACTTCTTCTCGGGAAATCGTAATGATAGCTTGCAATGAGGTCACAACATTTTCAACTACTCGTTTCCAAAGCCGAGTGTAGCCATGGAAACACAAATTGATTATTAGTGAAACAAGCGAGTGAAAAAACATTTTACAAATGAAAATCATGATATGGCAGGAAGTTGTGTGTGTTGTCCACGAATCGTTCTCACTCCATATAAGAAAACAATAGAATTTCGCATCAGTAATTGGGACACGCAACACTGCTACAGCGCCATTGTTCAATATTGTGGAAGCAGCGAGGAGCTCAGGCTTAACATCCAAAGAGTTGGGAAATGTTGTTATTTATTAGTTATCTTCGAATACATCCCAGCGAATAGGAGAAGCCGGTATCCGTTACCGTTTTCTCTCTGAGACATCTACATAGGTGACCATTTACATTCGAAGATCTCATTATGAATATATCCTTGGAAATTTCTAGATTTATGTCAAAATAAATCCCCTTAGACAATAACCAGATGATACTGTCAAATAGTCGAATATTCCATGCTGGACTTGATACCTAAAACTATAACAATTAAAATATTGTGGATTAAATGGGCATCAAAGTAGTTGCACTTGATGATGATTGCAGAATACTTTTACGAATCGATTATATTTTCTGTGTTTGGAATGATGTGTATAGCATCTGATTTAAAACTGTAACAACACTTCAATAACACATTTTTGTAGTTTGAGTCCGATATTTACTAAAGATTTTTCATGACGATGAATTTTCTTTTCTTAGTGCGAGCCAAACACCCAATAAATCACACCCAATCCATTGACATAACGTACCTCTTCCAGCTATTTATTTGGTATGGAACAACTATATAACTTAGTAAACTCATAATATTCAAAGATACAAGGCGCATTTGTTTTCCTTCCTGTTACTTAGGTAATTCATACACATTCCCTCCATATGCTCCTTGCCACACTGTCAGATAATTCAAATTTACGTCCTAATCGCTTGCGAATTGACAACGTTTTCCCATAAACGCCAAATTTCTGTGTAATAAACTTCTAAAAGAAAATGGCGAATATCTTAGGAACTTAGAAAAGCTGGTACAATTTCAAAAGGATTTTGGAAATCTCCACAGGGTCTTGACACTTCAACAGCAATGAAAAAAAAAAACAAGTACTGCAAGTCAAATATCAAACGACGATTTTATATTGAACACCGTTTTCTACTAATTAAAATGTCGGCATTTGTGTTCTGCTGTGTTGATACCAACTAACCTTTGAAGTAACTGTCGCAAAATCTATGTCACTGTCAGTAAATGCGTAATATGTGTTATTTAGTGAAGAATATAACCCTGATTAGAACTTGTGTTTAATATAGCATCTCTGTAATTATTTCATCGTAGCTAGAAAACAAAGGCACAGATAAAGAAAAAAAACTAGACGTTGTCTAGTCTACAACACCACAAACGCACTGTACAATTCACATTTAGTTGCCGTGACTGAAAGTGTTAAAAACCGATGTTTCTAATATCTAAAAAAAGTACAATAACGAAATAGGCCGCCATGTATCCCTTCAGACTAATATTGATACGGCATATACACTACGTAACCGTACTCGCTTATATTATCTAACATTTTAGATAATGTTTAGGTTGTTGCTTAGTAATGTTTAAAGAATGTCCTAACCAAACATTTTTTTACTCGGTTTTCCTCGTGTTCCTACCTTGTTAATGAAAACATGTTCAATGAATGTATGATGACTTCATTTTCCCCCTCCTCCTTCCCATCTCTGATCTACACAACTTCGCTGTGAATGTGTTTTAAATCTACAAACCTCTACAAGTACTTCCAGTTCGAATCCCGTTTCTAGTGCCAGTCTGTATATGTGTGATGTGCCTTATTTGACATTATTTGATATTAGTTTCATTCATATGGTTGTCACTGCTGGTGATTCAGGATATAAATCAGATGTATATTATAAATCAAAGTTTCAAATCATTTGTAATTTAGACCAAATATTGTATAGATTGGTAATTCAAATTCAATAACAAAATTATACTTGGTAATTGAAAAATAAAAGGTATAAACGAAAAAAACAACATATTGTGATGTTTCAAATTAACACTTATGTTTTTTCTAATATATTACTTTCTTTACATCGAATCTTACAATGCTGTTTGTTTATATTCAGAGTACATTATGGTAGAAAATAGGGAAAGTAATGAAATAGTATATATACTTATATGATTTCACTGATAAGATTGCACGTTTCACAATGGAATGGCGCAAGTTTTGATATAAATAGGTAGGCAAACTATGCAGTACCTCATTGGAATACCGTGATTTATTTAAACCTGAGACCCGGGTTCATATATTTCACACACACATTAGCTCTAATGTCATAATATCTAAAAAGCATATTCATGTTTCTATTAAAAATGTATTTACACAAACCAGACTAGCTGTATATTGTTTTCAAGAGTTTAGCAAACCGGGAAGCCTGGATTGTATCGCCTATGATATTTGTTTCATTGCAAATTCTGAATTACCTATGGTGTTTATTCATGCAAAGATTCCCCCTTTTTTGAGAAATTTCGTTCGAAACCTCAAACGTTATGTGATTATGATATGATTGCAGAAAAGAATCGATTCGCGCCCTGGGGCGAGAGGGCAGACCTCTAAAACAATAACCGGAGATGTAATTTTACTATATAAGTAACAATATATGGTATCAGTAAGAGTGTACATGTACACATAAACACAC